TTTGTTTTCCTCTTTCTATTTGCTTTCTCGGCGCACGTATTTACACAATTTGATAAAAAATATTTCTAATATCCTTATGAAAGATGTCACGCAAAAGCGAGACATAAAGTTGAAGTAAAATCATAAAGTAAAATGATTGGTTAGGTTTCGAGATAGATTTTTAAAATACTTGCCAATTAGATGTATGGAACCAGATTCCTAACCAAACTAATCAATATTTTTGCGATCTACAATCCTTAATATTATTTAATCAGCAATCATTAAATCGCGAAGTACAGGAAAAATTGAAGGAAATGTATAACGCTTGCATTTTGCATTACGTTATTATATATATAAAACTTTACGATGTCGAGCCAACTGAACGACATTAATCAAAAACTAGCGATTTTAAATACAAATATTAATTCCTTTGATTCTCTGACGTTAGGGAAGCATAAAATAGACATTCGTTCCCGATTGAAGTACGAGCCGATTGAAGTACGCGCGAATACTTCCGATCTCGTAAAAATGTCTTTACGGGCTGACACGGAAATCGAGGATGGGAGGACGTAAATTTTACCGAGCGTGACTCTACATTTCCAGAAATTGCTTGTCACTCGGAAAGAAACGCGATTCTGCAGACGGCGAAACAGAAGATTCGACGCGGGGTTCTGCGGCGTTCAGGTGCAGGGACACTGTTTCTAGTTATACTGTGTCTATATAGAGTATGGCAAGTAGTCGATATCACGTAGAACGTTCTTGAGAACACACGAGGGAATGCGTGTGAATTGATGATAGTTGTTGATCTTAAACATTGTTCCGACCCGCTGGTGTACCCAAGCTGCCTGAAATACTTTAATGAATAGTACACTTCTAACTTAAATGCAATAGATCTAATTCACATACTAAATCACGCGATGTGTTACGGGATAATTTAGTATCCTGCTGCGAGGAGAAAATTATTTTGCAGAGGTAATCTGCTCGATTGTTTATCGTTGCTTTTGTGGTTTTAATCGAATAATATAACTTTTAAACTAGTTATTTTTTCAGAATATTGATAACCAATGTTATCAAATTGTTATATATTGATATATATATCTGAAATATTCTTCTAGAAATATTTTTTAAAAATAGTATTACATACAAGAATTCCGTAAAAATATTCGCTTTTGCGAATATTGTAATAAGCTTTTCGTGAAAGCTATCTACGATAGTTCATATGTTAATAATTCAAAGCAACATCTTGCGATCGGAATTTACTGAGTGAATACTGGCATTTACGGACATCGAATACGGTGCCATAAATAGCGGAAATATTTAAAATAGCTCTCGTACTTTTATCTCTTCGGTAGCTTATACTGCGCGCAACATCGTTCGCGCGACGACGACGATGTGGTCAAGAATTTCTATTGCTGAAATAGTACAAATTTTCGCCTGAGAAAACACGCGAAAGTCCGCCAATAAACTGATATATCATTTTACACAAATTCTCACATCATTCTATATTAATATTCGTAACAAGGAATTTGCGAGTTGGAATATTCTAACAGCATGACGATGTGTCGTGTGTCATGTTGAACTCTTTGAAAATCTGCTACACTGACATTTGCAAAAAAAGATATATCATATTAGTGAATTTGCAAGATTGGGAAACGTGGGATAAAATAGAACATATTTCGAATTCGCTCAAACTCGTATCTATCATATCGATGCCAATCACCATAAATCCGTATGGTCGTTTTATGCATTTATACGATGGCCAATATCAATCATGTAATGGAACAGAATGTAAGTAAAAGATAACGTGCTTTTAGGAATGTTTACGAATCGTTTTTAATACAAGTAATATTTGTCGATTAGCTGCCAAATTTTGCATA